AGTTAGCAGAGAAATGTTTGCTTGTGTATGTACATGTGCTGGGGAATGCAACCATAAGAGCATAACAATTATGAGAGGGTGTACACCTTGAGAGACAGATCCAATAAAAGACAAAGACAGTCCCCAAATTCTTCTTTTATTTTGTATTACATCAATTGGCTTCTTGATACAATACAGAAACACTAAAGTTTAGTTAAATAATGTGCTTGGATTTTAGAGGAGGAAAGCCAAATCCACCTCTAAATCCAGCATTGGTTTAATTAAATAGGGACTAGGAAATAAAGAGAAATAGAGTTCTCTGAGAGACAACTGTAAAGTTTACCATATGGCAGTTCCTTTTGTTTGATGGCTATAGTTTCCTTTTCTTTTTAAGCATCTACCCATGTAGTGTCCTCTGCCTTCTGGAGATGAGTTTTCCTGTGAAGATAAAAGTAAAACACTTCCCTTTCCATTGGGGGGTTTCTATTTAGTTTATAAGATATACCATAGTAGAATACCTGTCACTTGTCCTCGTCGAGAGGTTTTTCCTTTTCCACTCGGATCCTGATCAACTCTGATGGTATCCAAAGTTTTTCTTCTCCTGTAGAAACCAATGCAAAACCCCTACCCCAACGTAACATATGTCCTGGTTTCTATACAGAGGTTAGTACATCTTTGAAGTATACCGGCTGATTGAGTTCAGCCGTTTTTTCCGTAGTCTAGTGTGTCCTTTTTTATTGGCATTAAGAAAGTTTAGTGTTAATAAAGCATATGTAACCTATGTTTGGGGGGTTTAGTCTTCCAAGCTTGTTTGTTGAGCATCTCCTTAAGTGTTCTATTAGATCTCTCAACCACTGTTTCCATCTGCCAAACCTTATTTCTCCGAATGCCCTTAGGATTACAACCTGCTGGCAATGGAGTTTGATTATAAAAGGAACAAGTAGGACAGTTTTTCACTATCTCCTTGTTGCCAAGTGATTGAGAAATCCTTTTTTAAAACCTTTGTTATTTACATGATGTTTTTTAATGAAATTTTGAGGCTTCTAGCACACTTCCAATTAATAAACCATCAATTTCATTATTGCCTTGTGCTAGTGGGCCTGGCAGACCCGTATGGGATCTGATATGTGTAATGTATATAGGATTACTTCTGTTTCTGATAGTTTCCTGTAATGTAAAAACAGAGAAGTTAATTCTGTATTATCAGGAACAAGTTCTGCAGTCTCAATGTGTAACACGACTCTTTCTGTATATTGAGAATCAGTAACTATATTAAGAGGTTTTGTAAAATCCATAAGTCCCATGAGAATTGTATATAATTCTGCCTTCTGTACAGATGTATATGGACTTTGAACTACTTTACATACCTCACCTGCTTTATAACCTGCCTTACCTGATTTGTTGGCATCAGTGTAGAAGGTAAGAACTCCAGAAATGGGATTTTGTCTTGCAATACGTGGAAGAATCCAGACTGTCTTTTTTATGAATTTAATTCTGTTAGTTTTGGGATAATTGTTGCTAATTGTTCCCAAAAAGTCAGTCAGAGCTATTTGCCAATATTCATTATCTTTCCACAAGGAGGAAATTTCTTTATTAGTTAAAGGTACTATAATTTCTGCTGGATCTTTTTCAGTCAGTTGACGAAGTCTTAATTTTCCCTTTAAAAGTCAAATCAGAAATCTTTTCTATATATGTCTTTAACTTTTTATTCTGTTTATGTGGCAGAAATATCCATTCAAATATAGTGTCTTCCCTCTGCATCAGAATCCCAGAAGAAAGTCTAAATCAAGGTTTACCCGATCTACATGTGCATCCAATATTCTGTTTTCTACCCATTGTAACTTTTTTTCTGCCTCAGCAGATAATATTCTTGGACTGTTTTGGTCCTTATCACCTTTAAGGGCCATTTTTAAGTGCTTTACGTCATGTCCTTCTACACCAATAATCGTCTGTAATTGAGAAATTTTCCCTAATAATTTCTGAAGAGAATTAAGAGTTTGA